TCAATTGATTGTGACTTGAGACAGTCAAACTCAGGTTCATGACTTAAGAAGGATTGATATGGCTTGGAACACACATGGGTTGAATAGCCATTGTCAGATTTCTACTAAAGTCAGCAAAAAAATGATAATTACACTTTGTCCCAACTCCAGAATGCTCAGGATACCATCAGAGTTACCGTAGGCGAGATGGGTCCCTTCCTTGTTGAACTCCAAAATGGAGATGGCTGCGAAAAATTAACACGAACGAAAACTTACATCCTGAACCCTGCGTACGATTAAGAATCTCATTGCAAAAGAAGTTTAACCCAGGATTATCTAAAATGCACTCAATTACAGAACGAAAAATGACGCACCTGCAGTCGGCGCCGATGCACTATCCCTTGGTGTCGGCTTCGGCTGTTTTAGCACCATTTTTCATATGAACGCTACAGATTAGGTAGATTTTAACACAACCGGGTCGTGTTATAAAAGGCATCACTTCCTGACAGCGTTTATTTTGTCTATTTTCTCGTCATCCTGCGTCCTTTCAAGAAGAGAACTTACTCTTCGTTTTTTATAATGTCTAGTCAGCTATGATGACGGATAAAACAGAATATGTTCTTAACAGATATTTAGGCTTCGTAGGATACCTTACATTTTATGACAGAATATTTTCAGATTAAATCATTACTACTAACCCTATCTGGTGTCGAAGAAGAATAACCATTCCCAATTCCTAGGAATATTAAAACTGGTTAATGGTGGTTAACTTCGGCGGCCGCAGTCCCCTGATTCCGCAACTTCCTACCAACAACCGAGGTCGGACACCGATGTGGATACATTTTTGCCTAAGAACATACAGCAGATCGGCAATCGAGTGTATGCTCTTCTCATGGGTAACTCTAGTGCACTCGGCATTTGACCAAACTTTATTCATGTCAAATAATCAAAGTATGCCTACCATCACCGTCTGGTGACGACAACTTTGGCGCAATCTTCAAATTTGGTTTCAAATTGTCGACCTCCGGGAATTCTCACAGTTTTTTGTATTCTGATCGACTGGATCCTATTGTTACTCTGAGACTCCGATGCACCAATATACACAAATAGTACTGTCATCTCTTAGGAAGTATTCACTGGAATTTAGAAATTTACCATCGGCCTCGTGTTTGCCACCAGTTCCCTGGCTCTACGGAGAATACAACTAGTGCGTCGTTTTGAAATTTGCTTAATGAATTC